GGAGTTTGAAAGGGGAGCGCGATTACTAGCTTCATTATTTTAACTTCAATTCTTTATTCGAGATATTTCATACCTCTTCTTGTTCTCCTTTTGAAGAAGAAGGAGTAGGCGCTTTTTGCTGGCTACTAGATGGCTTTTCTGTTTGTTGTACATCTGGAGCAAATCGAACGTCCTTTTCTTTCTTAAAAATTGATTTGATGACCAATACGAAAGCAAATTTCACTCATTTCAGCATCACACGGTCTTCACTTCGAACAAATTCTTCCCTAATCAAATTGATTTGCAGTAGCTTGAAATGCATTTACAAGCCGTTGCAGCAAAACAAACGGAAGTAAAAATACCTTCACAATGGCAGGCTTGGTTTTGTCCTTGATGATCTTTTTAGGTGCTGGAGCAGTGGGAGCGGTGAAAACATCTTAAACATACATAATGAGCCGCTTAAAGGCAGTGAGTGCGACATTACACTCGGAAAATTTCCAATATTGTTAAAGGTAGCAAAAATGAAGGTTGTATGTGAGTGAGAATTCTCGAGGTCCCACATTGGTTTTACTTGCGGCAGACCACGAAGCCCCTTTATCTCGCTAACGAAAAGAAAGCTATTAATGCCCTATTAGAGAAAAGAATTTTTCGTAACAATCAGGATTTTGATTAACCTCAGGGAGGGAAAATAGCAGTCAAAATAAGCTATCAAGGGATAAAGGTGAAGCATTCGGCATTGATTAATCCCTCACTGGGATGCGCCATGTGTTCTATTCCACTCAGAATCATTGTGGCATGTTGGATGCGATAAGTCCCGTACACTGCATTGTTTATTACCTTCCCTGTCAAGTTCTGTAACAATAATTCAACCGTACAGAAATAAATCTTGATTGGCCCGGATAACATACGCTCCAGAATTCGTTTCCCGGGTCATATGCGCGATAGACAACGCTATTTGCCATTTTTAATTTCGTTTCCCGGCTCATATGCGCGATAGACAACGCTATTTGCCATTTTTTGCGAGAGGTAGGCAATACCATTTTGAGGGGCCACTTGCCGCTACACCACTTCCGCCCAAATAAGCTATTGTGAAACGTAAAATGCTGTGAAAAAAATGCGAATACCATCCAACTTCGATCAAAATACTGCTTTCCAAGAAATTATCCCATCGCCTGTCGTCTCACCAACGAAAGCTGCGCGAGTTGGACAAATGAATACCTGCACTAGGATCATCGAGCAGATTCAACGCTTCCTGAAAATCGACAGTCGAAGTTGACTCTGCCAAATGGCCCTCAGACTTCACACGTTTCACATCTGAACTTGATCCAGGAGGAGAAGTGGCCTGCAGATGAAAATTTTATTGGAAATGATCACTGAAACCGAAAATGCAGCCACGAACCTTTCTTTTATTCATCTTATTGGCTGTTTCGTGCGCGTCGGTAGGATCACCTAAGCCGTTAAATATTGAAACACCATCGTTTGACTCCTCTTCATCAGCCAATGTAAAGGACACTTTTGGTTTTCGGGCGTCAGGTCTAGAAAACTTCAAAGTGAATTACTGGTTGATAAAGAAGAAGTGAGATCAATGGCGACCAACTTTTCCTCTTTAACCACACCATGCTCTTCTACAGCTTGAGAAGAGTGATTGGTCTCTTCTTCATCGCTGCTGCTCTCACTTAGATCCCCACCAAACAGATTATCATCATCCATACCTGAAAACGTTGTTATTGACAGCAAGAACCAGCTATTTAAAGATTTTGAATGCCAAGGAAGGGAGGCGCTATCATAAGATGCGGTGCCCCCTAGGGCCAAGCCTACAAACGAGCAAGAACCTCGGGTAAAATGAAAACCCTATGCACAGTGAAATCCCTCCTCCTTCATCTAAGGCTTACTCTCATTCTTAACGAGAAAGATGTTTTAAATACGGATTTTCCATTGCCAACACAACCCCCTTGCGATAGCGCCAGAAAGGAATGCATGTAGAAAGAAAAAATCACACCTCCAAACTTCAACCCGAAAAGTTCGACAAACAGAACAAAACTGGCAGAAAACGAAAAAAGGTGCTAATAAGTTGAGGGAAGGGGCCTCGCGGCGGAATACGGTGACACCACTGACTAAACCTCAGGGGCGCAGATGAACAGAGGGCCGCGCAGCCTCGTGGACCCCCCACCCTACTATGTTAGCAACAAAAAATACCAAAATGGACTGCTGTAAATAAGCAATGTCAGAGAGATCTTAAAGACAGAGTCAAGCGTGACGGTGACGAGTCTCCAAGGACACGAATTCTGCACAGCAAGGGAAGAGGAAGAAATATATCCAATCTCAGAATACCCATGCCACATGCTCGTTACTACATAAAAATTTTGGAGATCAAGCAAGAACAGGATTTCCATCGTGGCTGGTAGTACGGTTTCACGCTGGAAAGACCGCGAAACTCTGCGCCAATATCGAGTTACCGTAGCCAATAATTAGTCGACGCTGTCTTCGGCGTTCTTGCGTCGCCCACTTGAGGTCA